AGTTAACATATATTTAAATCTCATCTCCTCGTCAAATATCAATTTCATACAATAATAATAATCATCCCTCCTTCTCACTAAGACATACTGTCCTAATAATCAACATCACTTCTTCTTGCCAAAATCGAAGCCTGTAAATAACCCTTACACAGATGCTATAGTCCATAAGGCATATCAATTGTACTTGAAACTAAACTAATAATCAAATGCTCATTTTAACACATTAATAAAGTTTCATAAAATTTTCATTTATATTATCAGTATTGAACAAGAAGATTAACATATTTTTCATAGAGAGATCACAATTCACATATCAAACACAATTACTAGTATATTAAGATATATCTAATCATTGAAATTTCATAACAAAATACATAATTGCATACCTTATTGTTTCTCATGCTAGTAATTTGCTCGATTTAGAGTCGGAATAAGTAATTCATGCATATTATACCTACATAATCGAAAACAAAGCAAACATGATCACAAAATAAACTCAATTTTAACAATATTCATTTAATTCGAGGTTACGTTATTTCTTAGATTGACGAGTTCTTGATTAACTTGAATTTTCTCATTTCTTTTTGAGGTTCTAATAATACTTTGTTCTTCAAAACATAAGAACACAACCAAGAATATTTCAATATACCACAAATTAAAACTAAATCTCATATAATGACATGCATGAACTCTAACTTCATTTTATGGTTTACAAATTTCTCACCAAACTCGGAAATGAAGTGTCAAATGATACAATCTTACTTAGGGCTTCCAAAACTACTCTTACATTAAACATGCACCAATATTTTTTTAGAAAATAATTAGTTTCTCTCGCTAATTCATCAAGGTACCATCAATGACTTTAAATGCTTGAAAAGGACGACACAGAGAGAGAAACTTTATCTTTTCAATGATTAGATATATCCGAATATACTAGTAATTGTGTTTGATATCGGAATAATATAATATAATTTCAAATCTAATTATCTTTTAACTAAACTGAATTTATTAAATATACTTTCCAACAGTTTAATAAATATTTTAATCACAAAAAATAATGTAGATCATCGTACTAAAAAATAGCTCAAAAAATTCTGATTTCTTAAAAATCCTCTAAAAATATTTTTTTGGTTGCGGTATTAATTCTAGGGTTTCGTCCTAACTGATTCGGATTAATATGTATCGCATACCTTATTTTAGTTAAAGAGTATTCCAACGGAGATTTTCTGTATACACAAAGCCTCAAACTCGATATCTATTTAAATAATATCAAACTACTTATTACTTAAATTAATCTTATTAATTCTAAATAGATCTTTTAAAATCTTTTTAAAATACACTATTGTACTATATCCGAATAATGACGTTTTACCCTATTATTTATAGGGTATTAAATTAATTATATAATACATAATATTTTATAAATTTATAAGAAATATAAGATAATATTTATTTAAAGATTTAATATTGAGTTTTTACATGTAAACCTTAGTCCTTACAGAACAATAATAATCATGGTACCAGTGACTTGATTTATGCGTATAGTGCACACTTAAATACAGAGTTATAAAAAATAAAATTAAAATCTAGTTAGATGAGATATAAAATTTATTAAGTAAGATTAGAAATTTGAATATTAATTTTTGAAAATAAAGTAAATTGAGTTGAGAATATTATTTTTACCTCTGTAGTATCTAATTTATATTAGTCCGTAAATATATCATATATTAATGTTTTATTAAAATAATAAAATTAAAGAAAGGAAAAAGTGTTGGGAGACGTAACATATCACTGCCACCTGGAGGGTGTTCTGAGCGGAGCAGAAGGTCAAGTCTCCATCAGACTTGTCTCCTTGTGCCGCGAAAACTGGACTATAGTCTCCCTTCCCTTGCTCCCACCTTCCTACGTTCTAATCATACCCCCCCAGATCCTTTCTTTCTCTGCTCCCCACCCCTGTTTCTTCCAATTATCAACGGTCGTCTCATGTATAAACGAATCTAGTCGTAAAATTCGTGAATTTAAAATTATTAAACTTAACTCGAACTAAAAGTCTTGAAATTCAATTTGAAAGTTTTACTAGAAATAAAAAATTAAAGTTGGAATCGAGTTCAAATAAACTTGAACTATAAATATATTCAGATTTAGGTCAATTGAAACTCATACTCGAGCTCAATTTAAATTTGAATTTAAATTTGAATATGAATCTTAAGTACATAAAAATTTTATATTATATATATTTTTAATATTATCAATAATTTAATTTAAAAACATTACATTTTTAATATATTATTTTCTTGAATTATTCGCTCACTTTTCAAATCGAATATCAAGTAACTCATTTTAACTCATTAAGAACTAGAGTTAAATTTAAAATTACGTGGAGTTCATGTAATTCAAATATTAACTAAACTTTAGTCGAATAAAACTCGAATAACTTATAATCTAAATAGAGTGTACGTACGCCACTTGTTTTCCCTGGGTAGTTTTAACCGATCCCTTTTTATTTTAAAACTTTTTTTTTTTGGTGGAAACGCACCATAGGGTGGGTGTAGAGTGAATATAAGGGTGTGTTTAGTTGGGGGAATGTGAGATTATCATGAGAATGAAATCTATATTTCATCATTTGGTTGGCCGGGAATGTAATTCCCGGTAATATTACATTACCAATAGTGGATTTTTTTGTGTATATTACCAGGAATGTTATTACCTCCCTTTCCTTAGGTATTGTTGGATTACCGGTATTTTAGACTAAAATACCCTTAATTTTTTTTCAAAAATATCTTTATTCTATCATTGAATAATAAAAATTCTTCGAATGTTAAATTACAAATTTATCCTTAAAATATTTTAGATTTATAAAAAAATCTATAATTAAAATTTTATATGAAGTTTAGCGGTTAAAATAAAATTTTACCCTTTCATTAAACCTTTTTATATTTTTAATTTTGTAAAAAAAATTATATAAATTTTATGAATTTAAATATTTTAAAGAAAATATATAATTATTTTCCAACTTGTTAAAAAAACAAATATATAATAAAGACAATTTGGTCAAATATACATTCCAATAATCTTTTATTCCTTTAACCAAATATGGTAATCTTACATTCCTGCTAAACTAACCAAACACAAATACAACATTTCCAGTAATCATATTCTCTGGTAATCTTTTATTCTCACTGTTAATCTTACATTCTGTGAACCAAACGCACCCTAAAGATAAAAATTAGGGTTTTGCAATATATGCTGGCGTTAACCCATTCCTCTAAACCCCTCCCCCTCAAAATGTTATTTATATAATTAAATTTTTAATTTTATTAATTATAACACTAAATTTTAATTTTAACTTTAATTATGCTATTGTTTCATTGAATTTCAATAGCATCGTCACGTGGATAAATCTTTCTGTTATTGTGATGATATAGACAAAATATTGTCATTTTGGTCACGACTGTTGATGCTTAAAATGACGTCATTTTAGACACTAGACTTTAAGGGTGTATCAACTTCGTCAGTGAACTTTTAAACAATTTTTTTCGTCATTGTATTTTCTGATCATTGTAGGCAACCAATCATCGTTCGTCATCAATTATCTCTCACAACCAGATCAATATAAAAACGTTTACATTCCACTCCTATTTTTCTACTATGATTGGTTTTCTACGGAACCCACTCAAAATCGATAAAAATTCATTTAAAAGTTCAACATATTAATACTTTGATCTCTTTCGCTGATGCTATTTTTTAGGTATGTTGCCCGTCTTCTTGAAATAATATTTCTCACCGTTTGAATTTTTTAACAAACACCTCAAATTCCACAAATCTAAAAAAGCCTCAAAATCTCTAAAAACTAGCTCAAAAGATAATCGATAATTGTCAATGATTGGTTGCCAATAACATATGGAAAAGTACAATAAAAATATAGAAATATTTAAAAGTTCAATGGAAAAATCGATAATCCATAAAGTTTAGAGCTTAAAACGATGTTGTTTGTCCATGTAATCACACATTTTAATTGCTCAATGACATAATTGAAGCGGAAATCAAAATTTAATAGTATAAACGATACAATACCGAAAGTTTAGTGTCATCACGTCCGTTTAATGTTGGCCAACATGTTCGCTTATATGTTGATAAATGTTAACTAAACAAACAAAAAATGGTGAAATTATGTCACTAGTCCTTAAGCTCTTTAGGATTCATAGTTTGAACTTTAAAGTTCACATTATGTTCAATTTTTTTACCGTCACTAATATTTAAAATATAAAAAAATAACAGAAAAATGATAACGAAGTAAACAAGTTTATAAACGAGTTAATAAACGAACTTTAAAATGAATTTGCTTGTGAACATAGAAGAATTAAACAATTTATTTTTGTGTTGGTTTGTTTATTAAACTAACATAAAAATTTTAGGAAACTACACAATATATCACTAAACTTTGTTTGATGACTCATTTGTACAACTCAACTTAAAATTTTACCAATTATATCAGTAACTTGACAATGATTACTCAAAAACCACATTGGAAGCCTCAATTTTAGGAAGATATTTATTAAGATAAGATTAAGTCTATATATGTTAATGGTATAATCTAATAAGTTGTTTGTTTATCTATGTTACTTGAGTTATTAGTAACAAGATCCCTGGTGATGTCCGAGAATTTTAGTTCCGTTTCCTTCCGTTCGCAGTGCCACTCGAGTCGCGTGCACGCCCCTCCACCCCTTCTATCAGACCCTTTTTTTGGGTCTAAATTTTACAGTGTGTTTGACAACACACTAATTTATCATTTCCCTTTTCCTCTCGCCCTCCCTTTGTTGCCTTTTTTTTAATCCTAATCCCACCACTCTAGTGATTGTTTATGGGAATGATACATCCCATACTCACTTTTGCTCTACGTAATCATCATAAATAATTTCTAAAGGAATATTATTTGGATAAAAAAGCACCCTTTGTTTCCTCTTTATCTTTTTTTTTCGTTTTCCTCTCTCCCCACACTCGTTTTTATCTCTAGCCTCTTTCTTCTCTTTAGTTTGTTGTTCGGCTCTTTGGGCTGTCGGTTTTGGTTTATCATTTTGCTGTTGTTGTCGGAGATTATAAGCATGAAGATGCAACGAACACAGAGTTTCAATTCGGGCACTTGAAGAAAACACAATATGGTGAGCTTGTTCTGTTAGTGTTTCATACACCCTTTGTCATGGTTAGTAGATCATAAGAGAAGAAAAGCTTGTTCTGGGATTATGTTCGCCCTTCAAGTCATCTGTTTTTTATGCTCTGTTTTGTATGGATTTTGTTGGGTTTTCCCTTTTCATTTCTTAGTTCTCTCGGCAGCCAGGGAAGCCCCCACCCTCTGACAAATCCTTGTTCGATTTGAATAAAATCTTAACGATATCCCTGTTCGATTGATTGAGGACTTGCCATCATGAATGAACTTCCATTGGGGTTGTTTATCTAGTTTTTTTTTTACACATTCTCTGTGTGATATTTTAGCAGATTATTTTGGTTTATAGATGTGTGAAGACGAAAATTTTTCTGTATTGCATTATATACCTGGTGTTTGCAGTACAGTTTGGTTTATAGATGTGTAAGGACCTTTACATGCACAAACTTCGGCATCAAATAGAGTCCTGGACATGAGTGTTTTTGTGTGAATTATTGTACCATATATCATCTTTCTGGCGCATTGTTTTGCTGTCTCCAATATTGATTGTCATCACTGCCTGTATACTAATAGCTTTTGTTTATGGCAGAACTGTGTTTATGTAGTCATTGCTTAAAAGCATTCCTCTAGTGATATTTGATCTTATTTTAATATTATAATATTTGGTTTTTTGTTTTCTTTTGTCCCCTTCAAGCTGTCTCTCTGTGCAGTGTTTGGTAGCATTGTGTTGGTCGAATCTTGTACTTTGTAACCAATGCCAAGTGGTACCAATCCCTTTTATTGGTATACCAGCATTTAGAGTGTAAACTGTTAGCTATCTGTGTCAAGCTAATTTGGGAGACTTTTGGAGTTATTGCTTCCTACTTATAAATTGTCTGGAAATTTATTCTTGAATTGCTCCTGGTTTCGGTGGGTCAAATCGGAGAAGATTATGGCATATATAGTGGCGAATTATGCGCCAGGTGGTTGTTATAACTCTGAATGTAGATTGCGGTTTAAGTAGATTTCCTGCTTGTATTGTGCACTTGGTGTTTTCCTAACATCCATGTGTTTGTACCCTTGGTTTTATGAATACTTGTCTAAGGTCTAGAAAGTGCAGTGGAGAGATTACAGTGTGCAAGTGTCATCTAGTTCCTTATTTGTGATTTTGTTAATATTTTTATCCGTCTCTTATTTGTGAGTTTGTTACTGATTTTCTTGCAGATACATTATGAAGACCGTAGAGAGATGGGAAGTGGTGTTTACCCCTGGAAATGAAGGAGAGACAGCGTTGGAGAGCTGAAGAAGACGCTTTGTTGTGTGCATACGTGAAACAATATGGACCGAGGGAGTGGAACCTTGTGTCACACCGCATGAACACACCCCTAAACCGGGATGCGAAATCTTGCTTAGAAAGGTGGAATAACTACCTCAAACCTGGTATTAAGAAGGGATCTCTTACTGAAGAGGAGCAACGTCTTGTAATCCGTCTTCAAGCCAAACACGGAAACAAATGGAAGAAAATTGCTGCTGAAGTCCCTGGCAGAACTGCTAAAAGACTAGGCAAGTGGTGGGAGGTATTCAAAGAGAAGCAACAAAGGGAACACAAGGAGAAGAATAAGATGGTTGAGCCAGTCGAGGAAGGCAAGTACGATAGGATATTAGAAACTTTTGCTGAGAAACTAGTGAAACAAGGGCATAGCTCAGCCTTTCCCATGGCTGCTTCCAATGGGGGATTTCGTCCTGCCGACCCTCCTTCACCTGCACCAACTTTACTTCCACCTTGGCTTTCTAGTTCAGGCAATACCTCAGTTGTCAGACCACTATCCCCTTCGGTGACATTAAGTTTATCTCCCTCTGCTCCTCAAATCCCATGGCTGCAACCTGAGAGAATGTCGGAAACTGCCCCCATTTTGGGAAATATGGTGCCCCATGGACCATTTCCTTCTTGCAGTGAGAACCTGATGATATCTGAACTCGTGGATTGCTGCAGGGAGCTGGAAGAAGGGCACCGTGCTTGGGTTGCACATAAAAAGGAAGCAGCCTGGAGGTTAAGGAGGGTCGAGTTACAACTGGAATCCGAGAAGGCGTGCCGCAGAAGGGAGAAAACGGAAGAAATAGAGTCAAAGATCAAGGCTCTAAGCGAAGAGCAGAAGACTGCCCTTGATAGGATTGAAGCTGAATACAGGGAACAATTAGAAGGGCTAAGAAGAGATGCTGAATCAAAGGAGCAAAAATTAGCCGAGCAATGGGCCTCTAAGCATTTGCATCTCACTAAGTTTCTCGATCAAATGGAGTGCAGACCAAGGGCTGGCGAGCCTAATGGCCGGTAATCAAGCTCTTTCATATGCGTCTGCTTACAACAGACTTTGCATTGGAGCACATTGTTGTCAATTACATGCGTCCATTCTCTTCTTATATTCGACTATAGAAGTCTATTTATAAATGCTATCTACTTATCTAGTGGGACAGTTTGAATGCTAAGGTAGCATTACCTGAACTAGCACTTTCTTTTGTGTTTACCATCTTAAATATTAAATTTACATTCCGACTCTTGGAGCAAACTGTGTTTACCATCTTAATGATGTATACATAACGCAAATATCGTTTTAAGATAATGTCGAGACAAAAACATGAGCAGACACCAATTGTAGTACATAGAGAACAACTTCCAAAGGTGAGCGTCGAATAATATTGTGACTTAGCTTTGATGCTTTGGTTGCTTTTATGATAATCTACATTTACGTATTTGTATACAATATGTATTGGCATCACATGAGAACTCCGATGAAAATTCGAGAGACGAACATAGTAGGAAGAGGAAGCAAACTTCGACTTCCAAGCCTTTTGAAGAAAATAATATGGATTCTTAACGATGTAGAAAGTGATCACGTGAAAACATTATGGAAAAAACATGAGCAGACACTAGTTATAGCACATGAAGAACAGCAGACCGAAATCATTGAAACTGTTCTTACCAAGTTTTGTAAGTTTTAAAGCAAAAATTCTTAGATAATTTGTTCATTTTTGTCCAAAGCTAGATTACCCTGAACACATTACAACATGGGTGCTTTATTCTTAAGAGAGTCAATGGTCTCATTAAAAGTCTTGGCCCATGAATCCTTGACAGCTTCTGGAACTAGTTTTTCATTGATATCTGCTCATGATTTTGCCCCATTGTTTACTGGTGATGGTTTTCAGGTTGCGATTGAGGTGGTTGTTGAGTGTTTAGTTGCCCTTCCCTTGCTCGCAAGTACCTATGAACATCCTTCAATCTTCAGAACTGGCTCCTTTTCCATGGCTGCATTAGAGGATATAACCCTATTATTCCATACTTTTGATCTCCATGCCAGAATGATGAATCAAAACTTCCACATTTAGATGTAAGTTACAATAATCATTCGACGCTCACCTCAGATTCATCTCCAAGTTCTAGAGTCACTGGCTTCTATTCATGTTTTTCTTCTAATGCTTGGATGTGATCGTTTTCAGGCTGCGGTCGAGACAGTTCTCGATCTTGCACATGCTTTAGTGCAGCCTTCAATGATCGAAACTTTTTTGTCCCTGGCTCATAGTAAAACTGCAATTGAGGATATGAAATTTATCAATCCATAGTTCCAATTAATTGACATAGTGAACAAGGCTTAGTTAATTAATAGTAATTTACTATATGATAATTACCTGATGCACTTTTCCAATGTATTTTAATGAGGTTCCAGGTCTTCGCTCAACAAGCCATCCCTCTGGTAATCCAAAAATCTGTCCATTTACATAAGAAGGCGTGAGCATTGGGTGTTGAACACAATCTGCAGGTGGTCTCCCAGTTAAAGGTTCAGCTTCATTTACAAACTCCACGTTTTCTTCAACCTTGGACACAGTTTCTTTTTGCCCTAATGTTGAATCCTTTATAACATCTTCCATTGAAACTACTTTAAGTACTCAAAACAAAACCAGAATTGCAGAACAAAAATTGATTTCCCAAGTACCTCAACCTAACAGAGGACAGTGAATAAGATATATTATTATGCATACAACGGAGTGGTAGTTTTAGACGGTCTTATAGTTTTCTTAGGACAATTTCAACAATCATATTGTTATATTTTGAAGAACTTTTGATGGTTAAATATATATTAAAAATAATAATATTTTGTATTATTAAAGTTTGTGATTTAATTAAAGTTTGATCTAATTCGGAAAATTAATGATTTGACCCGTTTAATCCCAAAATAAAATTAGGAAAAGATAATATATATTATAACAATATATATTTATTAAAAGTGATAACAAGTTACATCTATTCTTATAATATTATTTCTTTAAAAATCAATAATTACATCAATTATATTATATGGAAATATATTAAAACGTTTTATATAATCTAGTAAGTATGAATCATATTAATCCACACCAATTATATCAATTCTGAGACATTGAATTAATATTTAGTAATTCATAGGAGGTATGAATCTACGAGAATAACTTATAATTAATGTATATGAACAATCATTTATACATTTGGCTGAACTACATATTTAATCGCTTTATTATCATTTTAGTTCTGTTTTGATCATCTAGTTAACTTTCTTTTTAAAATGATATTTAATATTATGTTTTAGTGGTTAGAGTATGAGAAAAGACAAATCATGAAATGGTTTTAATGCCTTAGTTATTTTACATTGTTTATTAATGCAAGACATCACTATTATTATTTCAATTTTTTTGTATATATAAATAAACTGAACTATAATAAAGTCATGAGAATATTATGATTATTTTTAAAAGGTCATTAGTCAAGTATTATTGTACGCTTAGACAACAATAATGCATTAAGACTAATGTGTAGATGATTAATGACAATGTATTGTCATTGACATGTAGATGTCAAAATCAATACATAGGTATGTGTTGGAAAATAACATATTGGGCTGACCTGCTATGAGTATATTTCTTGGATCATTATGTGACAGTTACAACATTACTCATGTTCATAAATACATGTATGATTCTCAAACTTGAGATCATCATTATTCTGACATTGTGAGTCACGTGTTTTGATGTAATCACACGTGTGTCGTAATTGGTTATACCATAAATATTGATGTTGGACATGTCATGATCTATATAGTGGGATATGATTGATCAATATAGGATTTGTCCCTCCTACATAATGAGAGTAATATCTTAGGCCACTTGATTGAGTGATACTGTAAAATGCATGACCATGCTCGAATAAATTGATATTAAATATCATAATTATTCGTTTGAATAGTATACTCAATATGTCAAGAAATACAAGATGAACTATACAAGTGTAACTGATTCATTACTTGTGTTCAATCTAAATATAAATGACAAGAGGATTTGGTACATAAAAGTAAATCATAGAAAGGTTATATCGAACCGTGACTTATTATAACTTAGGTAGCAATTATGTATTGCTAGATGTCGTTCATTGTTTATAATATTAGAATCGTTCTAAATATTAGTGCTACAGTTACATGAACCTACAAGGGTCACACCCTATGATTGAAACGAACAATTATAAATTAAATTACATGTATATTGTAACACCCCCAACCCGTTACCTGACCCAGATACGAGTTTGAGGCGTCACATTGAATTTTCAAACTTTGACTCTTAAAGAAAACCAAAGAAATTTCAAACTTTCATTAAAATAGCATTGTTATTTTACATAAGTTGACCAAAACAAGACAAAACCGATTAGAGCATTCGTAACTAACATATTTATTACATGCCAACACACTATATACGAAAAAAATACATACTTTATTAGTTACTTCTGATATGATCTTCTAGTAGTAATGTTATCCTTGCCACTTCTATTTCTGCTCTTCTTGATTCTTGGTACCTACGTGTAAATCACTTACACGCTAAGTCACAGACTTAGTGAGGCATAATATGAACACATACTAATAATATCATGAATATTACTACTCTCAATCCATTATACCCTTGCAATGCACATGTAAATACCATATTTTGACATACATAAACATGATATGCACAAATGAACATTTACATATTATAAGAGTTTTCATTCAATTTATCTTTGGATGCCCATGTACATTATTGAGAACAAAAGGTACGTGAGTACACTGAGGTTGTGCACAATGTTGTCACTACAACTCGAATAAAATCCCACTAGGGGCATTGAATATTTGTCCTGAACGACCACTATGTCCCGAAGGACCACTATGTCCCGAAGGACCACTGATAATCCCTCGACTCTTGGCATGCCAATTATACCTACAGCTCTCATATTAAATAACATGGGCTTAATTATAATTACAATTCTCATTATCATATTTCTTCTATCACTTTTCATATAAACACATGATTCACTTTATATGCATAAACATGATCATTTCCATTATTTCACATACATGAATGGATTCACGTATAATTACATTCATTCATATGAGTTCATATCAAAGCATGAATAAATTATGCATGTATTCACTATAACAATAATAATATATACATATGCATTTACATGAATGTAAAGTCATAATTTCTATTATAAGATATAGACTTATCACAAGTCTTATATCTGTATAGCTCTATCTAGGATATGCACTCATCTTAGCCTTGCTTGCTTTGACTCGATCCTAATCCTTCGATTGTTCCGAAACAAGATTACGCTCTAAATCTACATAATAATACATTGATACATATTAATATACTAATTGATATATTCTAATCTATCACTTCTTAGACTAAGAGAAAGGCTACTTTCATTCCTAATTAAGGTAGGCATCGGTACATTCCACAGTGTATCGATGCATCCCTTAATGTTTGTATCGATGCACTACCTGTGTATCGGTACACGAATTACATTCGATGTTTTTATCTTAAGGGGTGTATCGATGCACTAATTACATTTGATGTTTTTATTTCGTTAAGAGTGCATCGGTACACATCACACAACCAGAAATTACATTTTGAGCATGAAATTCACTTCTTTTTCAGCTCCACACTTCATGTTTCACCTCCTTTAATATTCCTAACTTGAATACCTACACTTACACTCATTATTACTCAATAATCACTTCTTTAAACTCAAAATCATATCCTTTATATGGCATTCAATAATCATACTCAAATATCCACATGTTTTAAATCTAATTCTAACACTTCATTTTCCTTATTTAGATTGATGACAAGTCAAATTTAACTTCCAATTCTAATTAATACTTTTCTATCAAGATTTCACTTTTTCACTTCCTTTCTTTAATCATTCCTATGCCTTTCATCTTGTTGTTTTAGGACAAATTAAGCTTTCCTTAAGCTTAATTATCATCTAATGATCATAAATCAACCTTAATTTCAGTAAGAACTTAACTAACAAGAAATCTTACCCTTGTTGGGCTCTCACGTAGGAAGGAAGAAAGGAGGATAAGAAAAGTGTGGAAGCTTGGATTTTTGCTTCCTTCACTTCCAAGTGGTTAATATATAACCAATC